GCTGGCTGCGCAGCTGCAGGACGCCGGCGCGGCGCTTTCCAACCTCAGGTAACGGCCCCGGCAGCACGGCTCCGCAGACACTGTCCCCCGTCAGCGCAGCTCTGCCCCACCATTCTGGCTCCAGTTCTCATTTCCAGTCCAAAGCTATTCCTGTCCACTCGATTCCCAGTAGTGCCTCTGTAAAAGCTTTCTCTTGCCCTGCCCCCCAAAATATTTTTGGAAGGACAGCTGGGGCTGCTTGCAGCCAGATCTGTGGCAAGCCGATTCCCCAGCTGCTCCTGTGCCCCTGACCCTGTGTCCCGTGTCCCTTTCCCGTGCCACCCCACAGGCTGGGGGGCAGCCAGCCCTGCCCGTGCTGATCTGGGCAGGGCTTTACAACCCTGTATGGAGCCAGTTCCCCCACCTTCAGCTTGCCTCAAAGCGCCTCACATCACACAGCACGGCCTCCGGGGCCTGTGTCCTGGCGGGGCTGCTTGGTGAGCACGCCTCAGCCCCCTCGTGCCGTTGGTGTCTCATGTCACAGCCCTGGCAGCGAGCTGCCTTCTCTAACCCTCTTGCAAGTGTCCCCTTCACTCAAGGCCACCTCTGCTCTTCCATGCAGCCGCTGCTGGCAGTGTGGAGAGTCCCTGCTGGGCCGGATCCCCTTCCATTACCTCGACTTCTCCTTCTGCTCCACGGCCTGCCTCCAAACCCCCCCCCGGGCCCGGGCCAGCCACACGTAAGGCTGGGGGCTGCCACCATCTGCCAAGGACCCCTGTGCTGGGGACACAGCAGCAAGGGAGAGCCTGTGGAGCAGTACTGGTCGGAGCGACTGAGCTGGCCGTGCCACTCTCCGGGGCAACTCTGTCAAGGTTCTGGGCACGAATGTCACTCTGGGTGGTGACTCTGGGTGCTCGTGTGAGGAGCCAGGACTGTTTTGTGGGGTCCTGCTTCCAGCTTTTCTCAGGGCTCCCTCATAGGCTGCTGCCTGTGGCGGTGGGACAGATCCTGACACATGGGGACCCCGCAGCCCTGAGCTACCTCCAGCCACGCCGCACCCTCTGGGCTGGGCTCTGCCCTCTCCTGGATGCCCTCGGCATCTCAGCCGTATCGTGTCAGCAGCTGCCTCCTCTGCCTGCGTTGTCAATAAAGAGGTGCCTTTGGTGGGGGTGAGGTCACCATGAGCACTGGAACTGTTTGGGATTAACATGCAAAGCAAGCTCAATCCCGAGCCCCCTTCTCCTTAGCACGGGCGCTGCCTGGTCCCA